GTACAATAACCCATCCTATTATTCTGCTAATTTATATCATTAATGTCACTAATCCTACTGTCATAATTCTAACAACAGCCTCTAAACATCTACTATTCATCATTTTGTCCAAAAATTAGCACAACGACCAACAACGGAATTAATTTCTAAATCCTAAATTAGTTTCTGGAATTACACTTCTTATCCATCATTTTAATCATCTAAAATAGAGTTCATCGCGTTAGCTAATCAACGCTTTGAACGACATCTCAAACAACATCCTACAACTCAAGTTACAACAATTAGAAGTCAATTCTGTCAAAAATCAGACTTTATGTATCGACACAAAACACCAGGGGTCGACACATCCTACTTCTTCTTCACGCTATGAGTCGACGCATCCCCCTATGGATAGACTTATTCTGCTTTCAAATCCCAGCATGTATCGACACATGCATCATATCGGTGGACTCATCCTGAGTCTCACACACTCATGTATCGACGCATCCCCTCTTCGCGTCGACTCATCCCGAGTCTTGCACTCATCATGCATCGACGCAAACCCTGCATGCATCGACTCATCCTGAGTCAAACACCCTCCTTGCATCGACTCATCCAGTTTGAGGTCGACGCATCTTGTGATTTTTTGAATAATTTTCTGCGTTTCTACTGTATTTTCACTACTGGAATCATACTACAGTCCTACAAATCTTATTATCATCATGATAAATCATCACCTATCATTAACCTATAATACTACATTGTTTACACAATATCATATCATCACTTATCCATCGAGAATTCGTCAATATTCACCATACATCATTCAATTCAATAACAAAAACAACAATCCTCTAATCCCACATATCAAACATCATATTCCCGGTTATAAAATCTGAACCCCACCCTTACCTTTTGGTTTTTCGGTCGGCCGAATTCTCCGGTTGAAACTGCAACTGGTTTGACGGTGAGTTCTCTAAATTTGCTTGCCTCCCACTTGGTGCCTCCAAACCCTTGCTTCTTCTACTGCTACGTGATAATTGTTTTGCTTTTGGTTGCTAACTTCTATATATTATAACCTAATATAATAATAGGTCTACTAGTAACTTTAATGGGTCTATTAATTCTATTCCTAATCTTGCTATTTCACACACCCCACTTGACCCAACTAATAAAATAACATTCTACTAAAATCAACATTAAATCCAATATTAATTTCTCTTGACTAAATTGACTAATTATTCGATTATCAATTCTAACAATATATATTTAATCCAGTAATGCTCCTTATAATTATTTCGATAATTCCTTCTTCGACTAAATTCCAACAATTTAAATCCTCAATAATTCATTTAAATAATTTAATGAATTTTCGGGCGTTACAATTTACACATAACAGGAGCAGACAGAGCTGAGATAATGAAGGTAAAGTCGAAATTAATGTAGGAATTTGAAATGTTCGACTCAGGGAATCTCTCATATTTCCTAGGGATGGAATTTAAAGATACTTAAGAAGGAGTATTCTTGCATCAAACGAAGTATTCTCAAGATATTTTGAATAAGTTTAAAATGAGCAAATGTAATGAAGTTGTCACTCTGTTAGAAACTGGAGCAAAGTTGAAAAAGGAAATAAATGATGAGTTTGTAAGTTCGACCCTTTACAAACAAATCATTGGATCCTTGAGATATCTTTGCAATACTAGACCAGATATCTGTCAAAGTGTAGGATTGTTGAGTAGATTTATGGAGAAACCACAAGAATGTCATCTCATCGCAGTAAATAGGGTGTTGAGATACATAAAGGGAAGATTTGATCATGGTATGTTGTTACCAAAGAAGTCGAAGAACAACACATATGTCGAAGTTTATAGATACATTGACTCAGATTTCAGTGGAGATCAATACTAAAAGAAAAGTATTGCAGACTACATTTTCATGATCGAAGGTGCTTCAATCTCTTGGAGTTCGAGGAAGCAAAACATTATGGCTTTGTCATCATGCGAAGCAGAATATGTGGCTACATCATATGCTGCATGCCAAACAGTATGGATCAAAATGTTACTTGAAGAACTCAGAATAATGGGACCTAAGAAGATGAAGTTGTTTATTGACAACAAGTCAGCTATTAACTTGGCGAATCACCTAGTGTGTCATGGTCGAAGTAAGCGCATAGAAAGAAGGTATTATTTTCTGAGGGATCAAGTCAACAAAGGGAAGCTTGAGATAAAGCATTGCAAGATAGAAGTGCAACTAGCTGACATATTTACCAAAACTCTGAAGAAAGTCAGATTCGACGAGTTAAAGAGAACATGAATTGGGTGTGTGTGTTAGGAGTATAATTCTTATTTTATCGAAATGCATGTGTGGTATATGTCGAATAGCTTATTGTATATGTTATAAGCTGTATTTGATAGAGTTGAATACAACAGATATTGTAGTATGTTAAAATCATGTTTTGGGCTTTAGTGTGTTTTGTCTAATTGGGCTTGATCATTATTTACCTATATAAAGGGTTGTTGAGTTTGTAATCAGTGTGTAATCAATAACAGATTTTTACAATTCAGTTAGAATCACAACAGACTTTCAATATCTCTCTCACTCTCTTTTTCTTCTTCCTCTTCCATAAATCATCTTTCTTGAAAACCCTTTGTTCCAGTATTTAAAATTTATCTTCCTTCCGGACACACTTCTGTAACTTTTATTAAGTTAACAATTGATGATAATGTATACATAAGATAATTTTCCAAGAATTTTATAAAATTCGTGAGAAATTCTTGAAATTGAGTGAGAATTATAAAAGAAAAAAAAGTTTGTATACTTTAAGCTACCACCAAGAGAATGTTAGTTTTGTGATGAAATGTTTTTTTGGGCTGTATTAGTAAAATATGAATGGGCTGTTGGGTTGGAGCCCAATTCCTCTTTCACATTTCATCTATAACCTAGATGCGCCGCAACTCAGAAACCACAATGGTAGAAGAAGATTGATGATGATTCTGCCTCACGAGTTGGTCATTCAAATCTTACTGAGGTTGCCGGTAAAGTCTCTTATACGCTTCAAGTGTGTTTGTAAGTTACGGTTTTCTCTTATCTCTCATGATTCACACTTTGCAAATTCACATTTTCAACTCACAGCCACAAAACCCAATTGTAGAATTCTACATATATCAAATTCAACGCAATCCATCGATGTCGAAGGATCGCTTGACAGTGGCATTTCACTCAACCTTGATTGGATCTTTCCAGAGTATTTTACCGTTAAAATTTTCTCTTATGCATTTATATTCTTTTGTAACTTGTCTTATAACTAACTCTGAGTCTCCCATTATTTCGACTCGAGTTACCCCCAATTTCAACAATATTTCAAGGCCTACGATTAGAGCCTCGTATTCAGCCTCGTTGTTCGAATAAGAACCTTCGATCTTGTACTTGAATGTTGTTGGAATTTTTTTTGGAGAAATAATTAGAACCCCTACCCCAGTTCCGTCTTTATGACTAGATTCGTCGAAGCATAACTTCTAAGGCTTGATCTCTAAGTAGTTGATTGATTCCTCGTTTATTGAGTGGTCAACAATAAAATCCGCTACCACTTGACCTTTTACAGCCTTAAGAGGCATAAAAGTTAATGAATACTCAGTTAATGCAAGTGCCTATTGTTGCACCCCAAATTTTGCCCTCCTAGTTTCTTCTATTTTGGCTTAGGCTTTTGCATTCGTCTGCATCTATTTCGTTAGGTCACTAACATGGCATACATTTCATTCAATATAGCTCTGAGGTTCAAAATTCAGTGGTTGTGCGATACTAGGGTTTCACAGCGGTTAAGGCACTCGTATTCAATAAAGAATGATTTCTTATTCAGGCAACGAGCTGTGGAATTAGGGTTTTGATTCATTCTCATTTTTTTGGACTTCCTCTCCCTCAAGCAGCAAGGCTTACCTTCTGATAAACAACATATTATTTTATTATCTTAGTTTCTCAAAAACTCTATTGCATTCTTCTTTTCTACAATGGCTTTTTTCACAGAAATACAATCACTTCCCCACCAATTTCCACATGGTTTAAGGGTTCTTGTAGTGGATCGTGACACAATTACTCTGAATTCCATTATAGAGATGTGTATTCGATGCAATTATCTAGTTACAACATGCTGTAATGCATCTTTTGCATTGAACTTTTTGAAAGAAATAAAGAATCTTTATGACGTGATCCTAATTGAAGCTCAAATGCCTGACATGAATTCCTACCATTTCTTGCAACATGTTACACAGCAAATCAGAATTCCAGTCATTATGATGTGTGTTGATCAATCAACAACTCCAAGTCCAGTGATGAAGGCGATTGAAAAAGGTGCTTGTGGATATTGGATTGAGCCTTTGAGTGAAGGTCAAATCAAGAACATATGGCAACATGTTGTAAGAAAAGTTTTGAAAGAAAACAATCAGCATGATCAAGTTCTTGAAACCTTGAATGTAAAAGATTTGAAAAAAAGGGAAAGAGGTGATTATGCACCTACTTCTTCTTGTGATGATAATATTAACTATCAGCCTTCAACAAAGAGGAGTTGTTTTTCATGGTCACAAGAATTGCATACAAAAATTCTTACGCGCTGTGAATCAACTTGGCATTCACGAAGCAAAGGCAAAAAAGGTTATGAAACTCATGAATGTCCCTGGTTTGACAATTCAGCAAGTTTCTAGTCATCTACAAAAATTTAAACTTCATTTGAAGAGAGCAACTGAAGAGAATAAAAAGCCTAAAGTAGGGAAGAAAAAATCAAAATGGGATGGTGAATTTGAGTTTCAAGCTTTGACTGTTGATTCTGCTGTTCAAAATAATATTCATCATGAAGTTGTTAACTCAATGCCTAATTCATCTCTAGAGTGTGACAACATCTCCAGTGCACAACCTTTGGAAAAAGTTAAGGATTTTGAAGTTTCTAGCAACATACAACCGTTATGTGAAGCATGATCTTCATCAGAAGTTGATGCATTCAATTGGAGTTAGAAGCATGCCAATGAAAACACATGGAGGCAAAGAAACTTCTCAATCGGGTCCACGATAATGTGGTCTTCTGTCTCAGGAGTCTTGGCATTTGGGGAGCGTTGCAGGCTAGTCGTATTCTCTTGGGCGGTGATCTTTCTGAGAGGCAAGCATTAGTTGAGGCAGAAGGAATTTCAAGTGACGTGTCTGTATGTGATAAATATCTTGCAATGTAAGGTAAAAGGTACATCCATCACTAGTAAGATTGAAATGCAGTCGAGACACTGTTTGATAATGGGTGTGTTCAAAAGATAAGTTTTGAACAGTATTTAGAATTTATCTTCCTTCCAGACACACTTCTGTAACTTTTATTAAGTTAACAATTGATGATAATGTATACATAAGATAATTTTCCAAGAATTTTATAAAATTCGTGAGAAAATCTTGAAATTGAGTGAGAATTATAAAAGAAAAAAAAAAGTTTGTATACACCAAGAGAATGTTAGTTTTGTGATGAAATGTTTTTTTGGGCTGTATTAGTAAAATATGAATGGGCTGTTGGGTTGGAGCCCAATTCCTCTTTCACATTTCATCTATAACCTAGATGCGCCGCAACTCAGAAACCACAATGGTAGAAGAAGATTGATGATGATTCTGCCGCACGAGTTGGTCATTCAAATCTTACTGAGGTTGCCGGTAAAGTCTCTTATACGCTTCAAGTGTGTTTGTAAGTTATGGTTTTCTCTTATCTCTCATGATTCACACTTTGCAAATTCACATTTTCAACTCACAGCCACAGAACCCAATTGTAGAATTCTACATATATCAAATTCAACGCAATCCATCGATGTCGAAGGATCGCTTGACAGTGGCATTTCACTCAACCTTGATTGGATCTTTCCAGAGTATTTTACCGTTAATTTTCCAGTTAAAGGGTCATGCAGAGGGTTCATACTTTTCTGCGGCTCCTTAAACATCTACGTATGGAATCCATCCACTGGAGTTCACAAAAGAATACCTTTATCTCCTTTTGGTTCTGATTTAGATGCTGAATATTTCTATGGTTTTGGGTACGACGATTCAACCGAAGATTACTTGGTTGTTTCAGTGCATCATTATAATGCTCCTCCATTACACTTGGAGTATTACTCATTGAAAGCTAATACATGGAAACAAGTTGAGGGTCCTCACTTCCCTTATATCCTTGAGGGTCAGTATAAGCCTGGGTCTCTCTATAAGGGAGCTATTCATTGGTTGGCTTATCATTGTGATTTACAAAGTCATGGTATTGTTGCATTTGATTTAAAGGAAAGGAAACTTTCATGTATGCCTTTGCCGCCTGGTATATTTCATGGTTTGTGGGTATATGGCGAATTTCTCAGTGTATATGCTATGAATGAGATTGATGATATCCTTGAAATATGGGTGATGAAAGAATACAAAGTGAACTCCTCTTGGACTAAGACTATTGTTCTTATTGTTGATTCCATCAGTTCCCCAAACCAAGACTTTTTACCATTGTGCTGTACAAAAAGTGGTGATATTATTGGGTTAGATGAAGACAATGGATTGGTGAAGTACGATAAATACGGAGAATTTCTAGAGCAACATTCTTATTATAATTACAGGCATATATGCGACGTGACTACGTATGTGGATTCTCTGCTTTCACTCCCCGGTGATGGTGACAACGAGTAAGCTTGAGAAGATGATGACACAAACAAGAAGAATGAAGTTTGAAATATTCTCCTTCACTATTTTCTTGATATTCATAATGTAACAAGCAGGTTGATCCCAAATGATTATGTATGATATTCATAATGTAACAAGCAGGTTGATCCCAAATGATTATGTATGTATAGTCTTTGCAGTGAAGTGCTTAAGTAGATGATGCAAACAAGAAGAATGAAGTTCTGCTGAATCATATGTTTGAATGGTTAACTATTTGTTTATTGCTTTGTATGATTCACTGTTGTTTATGTACGCAGATTGCAAGAAACATCAAAACTGCCTTTGTCGTTGTTGTATCAAAAGTAGTTTCTTTACCCTGCATGGTTTGATCGAAATTCTGTTTCACAAAAAGAACCCTGCATGGTTTGATCGAAATTCTGTTTCACAAAAAGAACCCTGCATGGTTTGATCGAAATTCTGTTTCACAAAAAGAACCCTGCATGGTTTGATCGAAATTCTGTTTCACAAAAAGAGTGCATGTTTGATTTTTAACTTGGCCTGTAGATGAGATGATGAAAGTAAAGCAGAAGTTATCTAAACATGCAGGTGGGGAGTATTGCTTCATTTGTACAAACAATCCATGATTCATGATATATCAGCCATTATAGATTTTGTTTTACTTTTGAACTGTCTCACCCTTGTTTTTTTATAAAAAAAAGAGAAGGTAGTCTCATATGCAATTGCTAGTGTTGCTAAATTTATCAGTTCATGAATTCTTACACGAAATGGTTAGTTTTGCCATCACTCGTGGGATGATTGAAGTTGCAGTTTGAAACACTATTGTGTATAAAGTGAGTTTTCGGTATTTATTGTTCTCATTGCATCATAATTGAGCTTATATTTAACTATATGATAAACCTGTTCGATGCATCCTTAGCAATGAAAACAACTGAGTTCACAACAACGATAGTTGCCAATATCATTTGGTATGGTTATCCGTTAACACTCGGCTGACAGTGAGTGTGAATGAGGAAGAAGTGAGTTAGTGTGTGTTTGTTTTTTTAGTAATGGCATTGGAATTCATATGCCATCTAAATTTATTAATTTCAGCATGTTTGTCTTTGTATTGGAAATAGGAGAGGACAATGAGAATGACATTCCATTAAACTATGTGATTACGGTTATGAATGAATGAATGACTATAGTATACAAGTAGTATTATTATATCCCTATTTGTTTTGGAAATGGGAGAGGAGAATGAGAATGGCATTGCATTAATCTATGTGATTGTGATTTTGTAGGGAAGATTTTACATTTGCCATTAGTTTGAGGTTCTAACAATACTTTTTTTAATTCATGTGGTTTTGATTGTGTAATTGAAGCTATGATTAAACAGGAAGCAGACAAAGTGTTGCACGAGATCTTCACCTCCCGACTCTAAGATGGTGTAATTGAAGCTATGATTAAACAGGAAGCAGACAAAGTGTTGCAGGAGATATTCACCTCCCGACTCTAAGATGGATGAACATGAAAAATGAAGCACTAAAGTGGATCCTTCGAACTTTATGGGCTTAAACGTCAAGTTCTCATGGACAACACAGAGTAGAAATTCCCTAGTCTCTCCTTGCAAATTATTTCAAGACTTCCATGAGAGGTATTGATCGGAATCTAGTGTGCTCTTCGAGTAGTTTAACTAAAGACTTCTACAAGGGGTATTGATATGAATCTATTGAGTTTTCCAAGTCGTTTAACCCAAAACCTCCAAAAGAGACATTGACTGAAATTCGGCATGACAACGGGGCGGGTCAGAGACGGTTTTCACCTCTCCCAAATCCAAACTTGGATCCTTAATCAATCTTCGTTTCCCGCCCCAAACCCAAACGGGGATAGAGAATTAAAACTCAAATCCGTCTCAAACGGGTTCGGGTATCCCCGCCCCGCCAACATCTATTTAATAAAACCTAAACTCAATCAAAGCGGGTTTCTCCGTCAACTTCGAGGCGTGTTCGGGTGGGTACCCGTGGATACGAGTTTTGTTGTCATGTCTAACTGAAACCAGTGAGCTCTCTAAGTTATTTAACCAAAGACGTCCACATGGGGCACTATTCAGAATTCATTGGGCTCTCCGAGTCGTTTAAACCAAAACCTCCACAGGGGACATTGGCCAAAACTCTCTAGGCTCTCTGAGTTGTTTAACCCAAAACCTCCACACGAGGCAATGACCGGAAACCATTGGACTCTCTGTATTATTTAACCCAATACCTCCACATGGGTTACTGGCCGAAACCCACTCGACTCTCCGAGTCGCTTAACCCTAGACCTCCGCAGGAGGCATTGGTCGGAGTCCACCTGACTCTCCGTGCCACTTAGTCTGAGATAATCGCAAGATTGTTAATTCTCGGGCTCAACGGACGAGAGGTACTTAATAAATGTTCAAAGATAAGAGTTACACGTCTCTCTAAAAGTAAGCAGGACTAAAATATGATATGTAACCCATCGTGCTTCAACGTTAAGACTCTTAAAATAACCAAAGCTAGAACCTTGGGCTCTCCGTGCTTAAACAACAAGGCTCTTAGAAAACGCAAAAAATAGAACTTTCGGGCTCCCTGTGCATAATCTCAAAGCTCTCAAAATATCACAAAGCTTGAACACGCCAAGCCCTCCGGTCACCCTCAAGACCCAAACATTCACCACTAGGCCACACACATGCACACATGGTTAAATTTGTCTGAAATTCTCATAAATATCCCAACATTCAATTTCAGTCCTTCAAAAAAATTTCTTTAAAGAATGATTCTCCTAAAGTTTACCGTCCACAATTCTACTCCCTGCTGTCTATTTGGTCTAACGGAAACTGACGTGGCATGTCACGTTGAAGACCGTGTTACTAAAAGTCAACACTACTTAAATAAAGGTATTAGATTGCGGGGGTTTGAAATCTCCCTAAATTTGAGAACTTTTTTCTATCATTATTACATTTCAATTTTTTCTTACCTAAAAAACTTGTGAATCGTATGTTCCCCTTCTTCTTCACCTTTATCCACTCGTGAATCACCACTTGTTGTGCTTATTTTGAAAAAAGGATGAATCCATGGTGTTTTGGGACCATATTAAACCTCAAGAAATATCAACATAATAATTGTTATATATAATACCAAGTCATGAAGAAGTATATTAACAATGAAACATGCAATTATGAAAATGTCCGAAAGTTGTTTTATGAAATGCCTGATAAAAATGTTTCAATGTGTATTTGTTTTATAGTAGAAAGCTAATGAGAAATTTAGATTAAAGGAAACAAATTGTTTGATATGTCAAGTTGTGCACTGCACTTGTAAATGGTTGTCATTGTCAAAAAAAATTGTAACAGTTTGCATCAATTAGAGACATATGTTTGATCTTTGATGCTTAATACATTACCATGTCAATGTTTAATAGGTTATAAAAAAATTATTTGATCTTTGATTCTTAATACATTAGCTTAAAAATATCTATGGTGAAGAATCACTTTTCCAAAATTGAAGGCAATAATAGTACACCATTCTCATGTTTCTGTTGGAAATCCACTAAAACTCATGATGAATTTCTACCAATCTTGATGAACGAGATTGATATCACCATACAATAATAATGAAAAATATGAAATAAAAAAAGAAGACAATTATTTTCTTACAACTGCAAAATTCTGTGAATACAATGAATTGACTTGATTACAAAAATATGGGTTACTCCATCTATTTATATATTTAGGTTAGTTTGTTCCCTAAGCCAAAGCCCAAAACTATAAAAGCCTAAAATACCTATTTTGGAACTAAATCAAATCTACCTATTTTAGATCTAAATCAAATCTATCTAAATCTAAAATTATATTAAATTTGTGCGTAACAAACTGTTTCCACACTTCCAAATTGAATCAAATCTTTTCGATATTTCCTTGTCTCTATCGAGCAAACTGCTTCGACACAAGGAATTACTTTTAACACACCACCTAATTTATTGTGTCTAAGATATCTACATTCATCATAGCTCTTAGTCTTCGAAATACTTCGCCCTGCACACCCTTCGTCATGATGTTTGCAATCTGATTCTTAGCTCTGCAGTGTTCTAAATTTATCTTCCCATCTTCCACCTGCTCTCGAAGATAGTGGAACCTCATTTATATGTGTTTTCTTTGACCATGAGCTATCATATTCTTCGCCAGGTTGATAACTAACATGTTGCCGATCTTCATGGTAATTGCTCCATGATCTTTCCATGTGATCTCTTCGACCGATTTCACCATCCATGTTGCTTAACATGCACAAAGAGAAGCGACTGTGTATTCTGCTTTTCATGATAATAATGCCACAACCGGTTCATTTCTTGAACTCCAAGCAACTGGTGCACCACCTAATATAAAAACATATCCTACTGTGGATTTTCTATCCTCAGCATCACTACACCAACTCGAATCAGTGTACCCTACTAACTTGCATTCTTTTCCTTTATCAACTGCAGGAAATAAAATATCATAGTCGAGAGTTCCTTTGAGATACCTTAGTATCCTCTTCGTCGCTGTTAGATGTGATACCTTTAGCTTCTGCATGAATCTACTTACCATACCTGCATTGTATACTAAGTCAGATCTTGTATGACAAAGGTATCTTAATGACAAGTTTTCTGTATTGGGTTGGGTCGACATCATCTTCTTCTGAATCTTTCGACAGTTGCAACCTTGGTTCAGCAGGTGTCGAAGTTGAGTTGCATTCTTCCATCTCAAATCTCTTGAGAATTTCTCCTGCATATCTTCTTTGATGCATCATTAAACCTCTACTGCTCTTGTAGAATTCGATGCCAAGGAAATATGAAATGTCACCCAGATCAGACATTTTGAATTCTTTGCTAAGATCACCTTTGAAGTCTTCGATCTCCTTCTTGCAGTTACCTGTTATTAACAAGTCATCGACATTGAGACATAGTATAAGCAATTTACTATTGCTTCTTCTTACATATACTCCATGTTCAGTTGTGCACTTCATAAATTCCTT